AAACTTCCCCCATTTGAAAATCCTATTGTAAAAACTGTTAGTCACCTTAATATCAACCAGTAACCATAACAATCAATCTCGAAAACCAAATTCAATCTCAAAAGCCAAATTTGAATAAAAAAATCTCGAAAACCAAAAATTAAAAATAACTCAGAATTAAAATCGAAAATTCAAATCTCTATAAATTCTAACAATAAAGATACAGAGATAGAGAGAGAGAATCGAAATTCACTTGGCTTCTTCGGCCGGTCGTCGACCGTCTTCACTTTGACGGATTTGGCTTCGAATTTCCTTCGCTTGGCCATTGAAGTTTTCAGGTAGAGAGTAGCTTTTTGTATTAGGGAAGATAGCTATTTTGGCTATTGCGTGTGGAAGGAAGGAGAATATCTCTTTCCGATATTAATTCAATAATATTACCACCATTAATGTGTGTAGTGGGTAGTTTAAAAGTTACTTAAAATAAACTATTATCTTAATTAATTAAATATTTCGTAATTATGATAAAAAATTTACCCATTCGTACTATTAATATTGTTTAGCAAATGAAGAGTAAGTGGGGTAAATTTCTCTGGCATTATCTGCTCTCAGTTAATAGTCAAACAATGCATAGGATACTTTCAAGCAATCTCACTATACTATATCAATGTGGGATCTATGGGTTAAATTGACAACCTAATTGATTATACTGATGTGTGCTTTATGGGTTAATTTGACAACCTAAATTTACACTATCACTAGGCTCTCTAGAATAATTTCACGACCTACATCGATCCTACCAGTGTAGTTTTTATGGGATAATTTGACGACCTAATTCGATCATATTTGTGATGTCGGCTCTATTCGTGTGGATTTCAGGAGTTGGACATCGGACAAACAATCGTGCAATATATGATGATTTAGACTAAGAAACATACTTAACAACAAAATGAACATGCTATTTAAATTGGAATTTATTGAACCAATTAAAATACATAAAGCAATTAAAATTTATTTATATAAATAAAAAAGGTATTAGTGGACTGATAAATTAACTTACAAACTAGTCTTTTAAGGAGCCCAAACTAAACAGCCTGGACAATATATTGTCGAATTTAAATGGAAAAAAAAAAAAAACATTTTATTGTTTTTTTAATTATATGAATCTATTTGTCTCATTTCACATGTCTAAAGTTCAAATACACTGTCACATGCAAATAAAGATTAAGGGACCCAACCCGCGATGCAATCGTAGGTCTTGAGTTTTTGTACGATTGTTTGTTTTAATACTTTCCAAATTAACCAAAAGAATGGGGGGTGCTCGATCACAAAACCTACTCGCTCCGCCTCATGTTACTAAACAACATGATTTATATCCAAGCAACCGCTGCGTCCTTCATCGGCGTACCCTATGACGAGGACCAATTCCGTGAGTTGCTCGCCATTGCCGCCCGCTCACCTGCGAAACCCTCATCGACGGTCACTTAGTTATGGTGATTACGAATTTGGAGGGTCGGGGACTGAACTATTTTATTGTAAAGTTTCTTGATTATCTATGCAATGTGACCAGCCTCAGCATATGGTGTTGTGCTAGCAAAGAAGTGTGTGTGCTATTTGTAATGTCTTTCTTAAAATTATCGTGCATTAAGTAGATTTAAACAACCGAAAAATATTATCGTGCATTTAGTAGATTTAAACAGAGGTCCAAAGATGAGGTCGACAGTTGATACAATACTTTGAGTTTATGAATCACCATCACATCAAACTTGTTTTCTAGTCATTGCGAAGATAGTACAAAACAAATCGGTTAAAAACAGTTACTACAGCTTTTTAAGGAACAAACTATTCAACAACCTGAATAGAAGGCGAGCTGGCATACTGTCGATCCTCGCTCAAACAATGAAATTCTCTCAAGCGCATCAAATGCCATCTTTAAATTGTTGCCTTCGCTTAAATTATTCGGAACTGACTTGTCATCGAGGGGTAATATTTCCATCTTCTCCAATAGTCGAGAATTCTTCAAAAGATATCTCACCATGTCGAATTCCCCCTCTCCAAACTGCCTTATCTTAATTGTTATAGTTCTGAGACTTGATAGTAAGCAAGTTGACACTTCTTTGGGCTCCGTAAAAAGGGATGTCATATATATTTCAATCTGATGACCACATAAGAAAGAAGCCATTGATTTGAGAAAGGAGAAGTACTAAAGAACATTTTTTTTTTTTTATTAATAAATAGCTATAATAACAGGGAACTTGTATCAACCAGTCAACACTCTTAGACCTACCACTTGAGCTTTAAGCTCGTGGTAAGTAAAGAACAATTCAACTACAGCAGCAAAATCCACTTACGATAAGGAGTTGAAGATTATCAGCAACTTCAAGTAAATCTGCAAGCAAATGCCATTCATCACTCAATTCGAGTTCAAGTTTGGTTAAGTTACCAAATTTTGCTATTGAACCAGCAAATCCTATTTCGAAAACCTGCCAAAATATATATATAAAAAAAAAAAAAAAAATCAACTTAGGACCACAGAGAGCGTGTATAAGAACAAAGTTGATCTGCGATTAATTTACTTTATATGACGAGAAATCATAGTATACCTCCTCGGCTCCATAACTTGTCATCCTTAGGCATTTGACGTTACAAAGAGAGTCGAGAAATTTCACCACATTGGAATTGCTGCCGATGTCCACAAACAAGTAGAAAGGTCCTTCAACGCGGATGCTCGCCTCAGCTAAGGAGGTCATATTTGCCAAATTTGTGACGCAACCCAAATGACAGTTAACCATACGAAGGTGTCTGAGTGCCTGTGCATTTATTAAAATCCTATAGTCAGGGATATCATCTTCGAAGATATGTAAAAGATCGATCTCGAGTGTTTTCAGCGTGGGTGAAGATACATTAATGCAACCTAAATATTTTTCCTTCTCTGTCAAGTGAACACTCATGGTCAGCTTCTCGAGCAAAGGACAGCCGGAAAGCAAGTGAGGAAGGGCTTCATCATTCTCAAAATCAGCATCATAAAGATAAAGCTTCTTAAGGCTAGGCAAATGTATGTACAGACTTGACCGGATTTCTACACATCGATAAATTCTCATATCGACAACGGTTTGGCAGGTGAAGAGGAGACGCGGGGGAAAAATACCCATAGGAAGATCCATGTCAAGATAGAGATTTCGGACATTACGCTTGATGGCAAAATTAATCCATGTCTCTAAATGATACTCATTGCAGTCCATAAAATCGAGCATAAAAGTATCCATTCTCTTCGCCTCATGGAGCAAAATGACTCTATGGATTATGTCCGAATATTTTGTTTGGCCGGTGAAATCATCCTCGCTGATGTCCGAATCTTCTGTTTCGTCGGGGAAATCATTCCTGCTGAAATTCAAACACGGGACGTGGACCCACAGGAATCTCCATCTTCTTCCGAGAACGCTGGTCGCTACTGAGAGCTTTGTCGGGAGGAAAGAGAGAATGTGGCATATAACCTCATCCGGCAAGCTGCTAAGCCTATCGACTGAGGTCATATTTTGCTCTCCGCCCGAAATCTTTTGGCACTTTCCACTCGATCTTCTTGATTCCTCCATGTAAATTCAACAAAAGGTATCTGGGTTTTCACAAAACCCTATCTTTCAATACTTCAAACCAAAATCCTACATATTTTAACAGATTTTATCAATGGCAGTCACAGAATAAGCATACAATCAGTAAGGCAAAGCAAATGGAGAAAAAGGACGTACAAATTCTAACCAGCTAACTACACCAAAATCTGAAAAAGGCTCCCCTTTCTGTCGAAGCTTTGATGGTGACCAGTTAACTGTCTGAAATCTTTTGGCACTTTCCACTCGATCTTGATTCCTCCAGGTTTTCACAAACCCCTAACTTTCACTACTTCAAATCAAAACCCTGTGTAATTTAAATGGCTTTTGACAATGCTTCACTGATAACCAGTTAACTATCCAGAATCTTTTGGCACTTTCCACTCAATCGTCTTGATTTCTCCATCATCTAAAGGAGCATAAAAAACCTAATCACCTAACCACCCGAAAATCTGTAAAACAGCAGCAATTTTGTGCTAGGAAAGGTATAGCTGAAAATTCGATTAGGGCAAAGAGAACCAAACCAGAAAACCTACAGCTCCAATCTTGCGATTCCGGTCCGATCCGGTTAAGGTTCGGGTTCGGATAGGAGCATTCCGACTCCCAAGTCCAAACGGCTGTGGAAACAGAAATGAAAGGCGACTGAGGATGTGATTTGAACAAATTAGAGAAAATGAGAAAGGAAAAATTCAACTGTACGATTGATGAGTTTGAACTTTCATGTTTAATCGACAGTGGTATGGGGATTGAGGATATAACCGAGTTCAAATCTTAACGAGCCAAAATATAAAAAATTCTACTTTCGAGTCAAGTCGAGCACAACTCATTAATGAATAGAATTTTGTTTTGAGCTCGAGCAATGTGAAAAACAGTTTTGGAGGCCAAGGCAACATTAACATAACTCATCTTAACGAGCTAAAATATAAAAAATTTTACTTTCGAGCCAAGTCGAGCACAACTCATTAATGAATAGAGTTTTGTTTCGAGCTCGAGCAATGTGAAAAATGGTTTTGGAGGGCATAGTTTTTAAACTCGGCCCGATAATCGACCCGAGCAGGTCTTCGAGTCACCGGGTCACCGGTTCAACCGCCAGGTCATCGGGTCAATTGCTGAACCGGATAATTAATTTTAAAATTTATAAATTTATATATAGAGTATTTTGTGATATATAAATATACATAAAAATAATAAATTTAAATATTTTGTATGTAAAATTTGTGGATTAAAGTGGTAATAATATGCATATATTTATCATATAAATATATATACATAATTTTATTTTTTAAAAAGAAAAAGAAAATTAAAAAACAAAAAAAATAAAAAAATACATATAGACCGGGTCAACCGGGTTGACCCAGCCGGGTCAATGCCTCGGGTCGACCGGGCCAAGGCCGGGTCGACCGGGTTTGACTGGGTCCGTTGTTGCCCGGTCCAATTAACTCACCCGGACCGGTTCCGGCTCCGGGTCGACCGGGTCTCGGGTCGACCCGCCAGGTCGGTCCGGGTCGCAAAAACACTGTTGGAGGGCAAGGCAACATTAACATAACTCGAAATGTATGTTTTAGTGATTGGAAATTGGAATTTTACTAGGACGAAATTTACAATTTTTTGTGAAGAAGTGGTGGATATCTTGAACTTAGTAATAACAAGTCCAAATTTAATTAAATTTTCTATTTAGTGCCTATCGTGACGAGCCAAACTTAAGCATTCTGAGCTCGTATGAGAGTATGTATCAACATTAATATTGTTCATTCTTATATTTTACGAGCTAAAATCATGTTCGAACGTGTTAGTTTAGTTGTTCGTCAAATTATGAATTTATATGTACTCGAAAAATTTAGTTAACAAACTTTTTCGAATAATGTTCACGAACTTTATCGAACTTTCGCGAACGATTTTTGTTCGTTCGACTATTAAACAAGCCTAATTCTATGTCTCGGCTTGATTAATAAAAAAAGAACGAGCTCTTGTTCAACACAAACAAGCTCAAATAAGCTCTGATCGCGATCATTCGGTTCATTAAAATAACAACAACGTAGCCTGGTAAGAGAATCTGCAATGCTTTAGGTCTAATTTTGTTTATGTGTCATGTAAATAGACTTAAGTCTTGAATGACATGGACAGAAATATATAAAGTAACAAAATTGTCTTCAATGCAAAGAGACTCGGGCCTTGTTTGGCGATCAGCGGGTAGCGGATAGCGGATTGTATTAGCAGATAGCGGATAACGGATTATATTAGCTGATTTAACTAGCGGATTGCATTAGCGGTTTTTAAATAAGTGTTTGGTAAATAGCTGAAAGCTTATAGCTGTTTGACATTGCAAATTACCAATAAAGACATTTTATTATTTAGGGTGTATTCTTTTAATAATAATATATTAAAACATTTAATATTTTTTAGTTGGTAATTTATAAATATATATTTTTAAAAAAAAAATTACTAACAATTGATTAAGAAGTTATGAATTTTACATTTTGCTAGATAAATTAATCATATGGATGACATATTATTATTTGTTAGCATCATAAACCAATGTAGATTGTAAAATAAATAATACAAATTAAAAAATTCTAAATTAAAATTGTAGATTGTGAATCCTCTATCCCCAAAAAGCTCCTCTAATGAGCCTTTTCTAAATTAGAGTTTTGGGCCTAAAAAGCTTATCAAATAAGCTATTTACCAAACAAGCTCAATAGCAGATTTGACGGGTCAAACCTCTCGATTAAGTCCAGTCCGCTAATTTATCCTCAATCCGCTATCTTCCAAACGGGGCCTAGGTCTCTACTTGGGTCTAAATTAGACTTAAGAGTAAACTGAATCTCTTTTTT